GCACAACCGATCAACAAGAAAATATGGGACACAATCACAGGACCGCGATGATCCCGCCCGTCCACGTAAGGCGCCAGGAAAACAGTCAGGGGTTTGGAGATCGGAGGCAGTTGTGACGCTCGGAACAGGTCTAGGAGGAGGAAAATCGCCAAAATCAAGCTGAGCGCCAGAGCTATAAAACAAGGATCCACAAAGATGGTCGGCAAGAGCATGGCAACCATGATACCGTGAAAGACTTTGCGTCTTGTGTCGACTTCGACAATCGACGTGAGGTGAACAACAGTGGCTATTCCAGCCATGAGCACGACGAGGCAGTATGCACATATGGTGAGGCGTGTGGTAGCTGGTCCAAGAGCATGTTGGCGGGCATATTCAATACCGCCGTTTTTGAATGGTAACAGTGCCTCTGCTCCTCGGGCTGGGAGGCAGATCCATCGTTCGAGGTTGTTGCTAACCACCCAAAGTCGGAAGATGGGTAGATTGCCGAACAAATATCCCAATGCCCAACCTATGGGCTCATGGTTCGACAACGCCCGATGGCCCACGTAGAGCCGAACCGGTCCCAAGATTGTGATAATCACAAACATGTAGGCGACGGCCGCATATGCATACTTTCGCACTCGCGCTTGCGCCACGCTGAACGCTAGGAAGGCCGCGGAAGGACCAGTTGGAGCCGGCTTCACCTTCTTCGCGCCTAGGGCCTGGTGCTTGCGCCGACTCTGTTCCAAGGTGGTGAATGTGTTTCTTCGAGGTGGTACTGACAGCGCAACCGTCTCCGATGAAGTGGCCTTGGATGGTTGCTGTTCAAAAGCTGACGCTGGCTCCTGAGCAGAGGCAGTTGCAGAGAAAGCTCTGCCATTTAATTGCAACCTCAAGCGGGGCCTCAGGCCTGGCTTAGAATGCGCAGGATGGACCTCATCCTCAGTATCCGAACTGTCTGCGTGCCGGCTTTTATACCTCCCACCCACAAGAACGCTGCAAAGGTATTGATCGAGTCTTGCTATTAGACCCACGGGCTGGCGTGAGCGCAACAGCCTCCAGGTGGGCACTCGTGCCAAAGCGACTTCCCACATCAGAACATTCTTACATGTGATGAAAATGCTCAAACCCCCCAGCCAGATCATCGCCTTGAGAATCTCGGCTTGGGGCGTCCGAGCAAAAATGTAGAGATTTATGAGTGCTGATGAGAGGAGCTGTAGTTCTGATATATCCAGACTTGAAGTGGTGAGATACCCAAGCATCGAGATTAATGCCTGGTGCAAGGGAAATATGACCACCAGGATTTCCCTACTCAAGTGAGAGCCGGGATCTAGTTTCAGAGACAATGGCTTTGGAACTGGAGCGGATGATGATCGGTAATTCGAGGTATGGAGTGGAATAACGGAAAGGAGCCAGTGCAGATACATGCCAATGGCAGGAATCTTCGGCGTTGTTGTGATAATCGAGGGTATCGACGACAACCCACAGATGATTGCTGCTGGGAGAAAAGCCACGCTCTGGCGGAACAGAGAAACGGATATCATTAGCGGTAGCAGTACCGGATACAACAGAGGGCCAGGGTCAAATTGTGAGGGGATGTGAAATCCTAGCCTGAGTGCTTGCAGAATGGACTTTTTCGCAGCTACTGCTCGCACCGTGAGCCTGAGCGGATAAAGCAGATAGACAAATGGTGGGAGTAGAAGGAATGCCGTGACCTCGTTGAGCCAGTCTTTGAGGCCCGATGAACCCCCTCTGCTGTTCCAGACGACCACCCCAATGCCACAAAGAAGCGAGGTTTCTGTGCATCGCCGAATGATCTCGCGTCGCTTCCGTTTCTTATACGCTTCGTAGTCTCTGATATGCTCCTTCGTCCGTTGTTTTCTTTTCCCAGGTTTCTGGACCGAGTCGAAAAATCGAGGCCCATCCCCCTCGATAAAGGCTGGCGGTGTGGGAAACGGGCTGTGGGCCGGGGTCAAGTTGGCAGGTGAAGTTCCTCGAAGACCCTTGTGTAGACGTGGAGGAGGTGCAGGAAGTCCCTTGAGAAAGGGGCCCTTCTCGTCGTCTGCCTCTGTGCCGCTTTCGCTAGACTCAGAACGACTGAGTTTCGGGGAAGGACCATGTCCATTGGTGACAACACCGTAGCCATTGTCAGCTCCCTGGACCTGCGCCGGCCTTAGGCTCTCTGCCCGCAGAAGATATGGGCGCGGCGTGCGAGACCGCGTCAGGTCATGTTGGTCGTGGATTGCCAGAGACGTGGATCGACCGGGTTCGTTTCTCGCGGACATCTGAGGGGTCATCGGAGGGCAAAGCCACGACCGGGCACCAAACCGGGGGGACAGTCGTCGCAGTCTATCATAAGAATTCGTTTTCACGGCGGATCAGCAAAGACTAGGGGAGACACCGCAAGCACTGCAGACACGAAAGCCATCCTGACCTGGGATGGGCAGGTGGGCTCTTGTTGGGACAATGAGCAAGTAGTTCACATGCAACGGGAAGATTCTGGTGAGCTGAGAGGGCCACTTTGGTCTCTTTTTCCGAATTTTGTTCCTGCGGAGTGACGCAAGACTGGCTTGGTCCTACTGGTACTCGGGACGCCTATTTCGCTTCCCATCTCGCTATTAATAATTATTACATTCAACCCGCATCATTTCAATCATTTCATACATTGACAGCATGGATACCCTAGGGATTTGTGGAAATGGGCGAGCAAAATCAATTGTTCCTGGAGTTCCAAAAGAATACAAATGATGTATTATATGCACATCTTTAATGCGGCATACCATTAACGAGCGCCGCCGTCGCCGTCTTTTGCCCGTTAGCCTTGGAAGCGACCATTTCTGGCGGAGGCACTGGACCAAACACGGGCTTCGCGATTTCGGTTGCCAGCTCCTCTTCCGCCTCATAACTCGCTTCATCATCATCGTCCTCGTCCTCGTACTCCTCGTCATACTCGCTTTCTGTGCCTTCATCGTCCACAGGCTCTTGTTGGATCGGCCGGCCTCGACCTTGTTCCTGCATGATTTTGATGATGTTGCGCATCCGCTGCTCCTGCTTTCTCAGCCTCTCCAGATCCTCCTTGTCCCGCGTACGTTCCTCGGCCATCTCCAAGATGTTCCGATTTGTTTGATCATGTTTGCGCGAGAGCGTGAGGTTTTCCTTTTCGAGTCGCTTCGTCTTCTTGGACATCTCCTCCATTTCTTTCCTAAATGTGAGGAATAGCTCGTTGCTGTTGTTGAGAGTGTCCTCCACCTGCTGGATGGTGAGCAAAGAGTTTCAGCTCATGCACCAATCAAAATAAGGTAAGGGATAGATTTGAACTAACCTGCTTGAATTTCTCCACGTAGATATTCAATTGACTGCGTAGCTCCGCTTCCGTATGTGAGAAGGTCGACACTTGGCTCGTCAGGGTCCGGCACCGAGCTGCTTCAGTGTCGGCCCTTCGACGCTCAACCTCGTGTTTGGCTTGCAGGTGCGCTATCTCGGCATCTTTGTGGCGAAGGATCGATTTGAAATGCATTTCCCGGATTTCGGCTTGGTCTGCTAAGACCTTACATCGCGTTCTGAACCTGATGAAATATTAACCCAGCTCACAAAATGACGATAGGGTTGACTCACAGCTCGTCCAGCTCAAGGTGAAGGTATTCGGGATGTGCGCCGGTCTTGGTGTTCATAGCCTCCTGCACATCATAGAGCATCTGGTCTAGACGCTCGTTGATGCTCTCCCGGGCCTGTTTCTCCGTCTCTTCAAGCTTCTTGTTGTCGTCTTTGAGTTTTTTGTTCTCTTTTGTCAATTCTCTGCACAGCTTTTCCAACTTGTCCTTCATCGTGGTTGTCTTATTGTGCTCCGACTTGGATTTCTCAGCGTCCTTCTGGTACTGATCGCGACTCTTTTTGGCCTTGAGGTGTTCGCGCTCGGTCTTTTTCATTTCAGCAAGGAGCTCTTCATATTTCTGTTTGACGAGGTCGATCCCCTTCAGAGGTTCGACACCATTGATCAACTCATTGAGGTCACGAATGGCTTTCTTTACTTCACGGTCAATCTCCGCCTGCTGAGCCTTATCACCTGCCTTCTCTTGCTCCAGCTGTGATAACCGCGCTTGTACTAGTTTTGCATTCTCCTCAGCGCTGAGTTGTTTGTCCTTCTTTCCCTTGCCTTTCTTCGCAGCGGGCGCGGGCGGGGGCAAATCGTGGCTGTCGCCATTTGTGGTTTGAGATGTAGGACTGTGCGCCGCGGTAGCCATGTGGTCGGCAGCGCTGGCCCGTAAGCTGTGGCCTTTTTGTGCCTGTTCAAAGCCAGTGGTAGCTTTTGAAACCCGTACAGACGACTGTGGTGCCCGGCCTGAACATCTGCGACAAAAGACTTTTAAAGTGGCGTCAGACAGCAATTGGACGCACTAGAACGTGAGAATTGTTGAGATATCTCTGGGTTATTATGATGACCCGTCTATTCTTTACTGCGTGTAGATTATGTGGAACACAGAGAGAGAGATAGTCCGGTCAAGCACAGTGGGAAGAGATCGTGCGAGGCGAACCTCGATCGGAGGACGTGCCGCGCAGATCTGGGATTTCCTTCACGGCCGAGCACTGTGTACAAATGCGCAATATACCGAAACTCAACGTCGAGATTGAGGTAACTTACTTACTGCACACCGCAAGATTCGAAGGGACTATCGACAGCATTTATGCATACTTGTCTAATACCTATCCCAGCATACACAGATCCCCTCTTGAATCTGGTTAGAGACCTTGCTATAGGGAGAACGTGACACGTGACTTCTCGATTCCTTAATTCGGCGATTTTGGTTTGTCTTCATCTTTCTTCGCCTTCCAGTTACACCTGCGTTTGCTATCATTAAGAACCTAGAGACTGTAATTCCAAGCTTCTACTCCCGCATCGAACCACCATCGACCGACCCCTTTAGACTCGCCGCCCCGATTCAGTGGCTACCTCCGATTCGAGACTGCGATTCCTTTGGTCGGGAGATGCTTAGGCATGGCGTCGTTCGCCAGGGCATTCTGCGATGCGGCAGGCCGTATTTGTCCAGAAGAGGGTATGCGTCGGTGACAGACTTGAATAGATATCCCACGCCCGGGGATAGCATACACGGATTCACACTGAGAGAGATAAAGCATGTGCCGGAGCTGCACTTGACGGCGTTGAGGTTGGAGCATGACAAAACTGGCGCAGAGTACCTCCATGTCGCTCGGGACGACAAGAACAATGTCTTTGCAATCAACTTCAAAACAAATCCTACCGATAGAACTGGCTTGCCCCATATCCTCGAACACGTTACGCTATGTGGGAGCGAAAAGTATCCCGTCCGGGATCCCTTTTTCAAAATGATGCCGCGATCGCTGGCCAATTTTATGAATGCATTTACGTCTTCGGACTACACGTCATATCCATTTGCCACTACAAATCTTCAAGATTACCGCAATCTGTCGTCAGTCTACATGGATGCAACTCTCCACCCACTGTTGAAACGTACCGACTTTTTGCAAGAAGGATGGCGGCTTGGTCCGGAAGACCCCCGAGAACCCCCGACGGAGGACAATATCAAGTTCAAAGGAGTTGTCTATAACGAGATGAAAGGGCAGATGTCAGACGCCAGCTATCTCTTCTACATCAGGTTTAGAGAACATCTCATACCATCTCTGCACAATTCTGGTGGTGATCCTGAGTTCATGACTCAGCTCACACACGATCAACTCGTCAACTTCTCCCGGAAGAACTACCATCCCAGCAACGCAAAGATATTCTCTTACGGCAGCTTAAGCCTGGCCGAACAACTTCAGTATGTGGACGAGGCCATCTCAAAATTCGACAAGGCCACGCCAGATACGGAGATCAAGATGCCAATCAGTTTTTCCAATGGATTCATCGCTTTCGAGGTACCCGGCCCGGTCGATGCGATGCAACCCCCTGACCGGCAATTTAAGTCTTCCATTTCCTGGATGGGATGTCCCTCCTCCGATGTGGTAGAGACCTTTTGTATCGGCATAATGATGTCGTTGTTGATGAGTGGTTACGGTTCCCCTCTATATCAAGGGTTAATCGAGTCGGGCTTAGGAACTAACTTCAGCCCAAATTCCGGATACGACGCCTCTGCAAGGGTTGGAGTTTTCTCCATCGGACTAGACGGTATGAAAGCTGAAGATATTGCTGGCTTGAAAAAGAGAATTCAGACAACTTTGCGAGACAAAGCCCACGAGGCTTTTCAACCAAACAAGATCGAAGGTTACATGCATCAACTGGAGCTTTCCTTGAAGCATAAAACAGCCAATTTTGGGATGGGCTTACTGGAGAAAACTCTCCCTGGGTGGTTTAATGGAGTCAACCCAATGGATTTCCTGGCATGGAACGAAGTCATCGATGCTTTCAAACAACGGATGAAAGAAGAGAAATATCTTAACCAACTTGTACAAAAATATCTCTTGAACGACAATTGCATGCAATTCACCATGACTCCTTCGGAGTCTTACGGTGCCGCCTTGGAGGCACGGGAAGAAGAACGGAGGAGGAACATTCTAGAGACAGTCAAGAACGCTTCCAGTTCACCCGAGACCGCCATTTTGGAGCTTGGTCGGCAGGAACTTGAGCTCGTCGAGGAACAAGAGAAGGCTCAAGACAAGAATCTGGATACCCTCCCAACTCTCCGCGTCAGCGATATCACTCGAGACAAGGAAAGAAAGCCAAGATATCATCAGAAGATAGGTGAAGTGGATTGCTTATGGCGTGAAACCGAGACGAACGGGATCACATATTTCCAGGCAAAGAACCTCTTCAGAAACCTCCCTAACGAGCTTAGGGTCTTGTTACCACTATTCACGGATTCATTGATGCGGTTAGGCACCAAAACAATGTCTGTGGGAGATCTCGAAGCCGAAATTCTTCTTAAGACCGGCGGCATAACGGTGTCCTCATTTGCGGCGCCCGATCCGTGGAGTCTGGACAAATGTAATGAAGGGCTCTTGGTGGATGGCTATGCGCTGGACAGAAATGTACCAGCAATGCTTGATCTTATCCGCACACTGCTATTGGACATTGACTTTACAAGTCCCGGAGCTATTGCTGCAATTCGGGAGCTTCTGGAATCTAAGGCTTCCGGGGCTCTGGATACAGTGGCGGAAAGCGGTCACCACTTCGCCGTCACGAGCGCTTCTGCTGCGCTGACACAAAGAGGGTGGATTCAGGACCAGCTCTCTGGACTCTCGCAAATAGAATCCACCGCTCGTATACTGGATCAAGCCAGACGTGATCCAGAAAGCTTGGTGCAGGTCATACAGAACCTGCAAACCATCCAATCGATAGCAATCGCCAACTCGTCCGACTTGTCGCTGCGTGTCGTGTGTGAAGCTGCCTCGGTCAAGGGCAATCGAGATCTCATTCAGAACTTCCTTGCCCAGTTACCACGAGCCCAGCCATCAGTGAGTGACTCGGTTCTATCGAGTGTGATACCGGGCTCGTCACTTTCACGACGAGCTTTCTTCGACCTGCCATTTCAAGTTTCTTATACGGGAACATGCCTCCAAACCGCACCCTATAATTCACCAGACAAAGCACCACTCACTGTGCTTGGCCAACTCTTGGTCCACAACTTTCTCCATCCCGAGGTGCGAGAGAAGGGTGGCGCATATGGTGCGTCGGCGAGTGCGAGCCCGATCAGTGGATTGTTCACCATGTCGTCGTATCGAGATCCCAATCCTCGCACTTCGTTGAGTGTGTTCGAGCGCGCGGGACTCTATGCCCGTGATAGGGTCTGGAGTGGCCGCGAGCTTGAGGAGAGCAAGCTGAGCATTTTTCAAGGAGTTGACGCTCCCACAAGCGTGAGCAGCGAAGCAAGTAAAGAGTTCATGTACGGCATCACCGAAGATATGGACCAGGAAATGCGCGAACGCTTACTGAGTGTCACGAAGGAGGCTGTGCAGTCAGTCGCTCAGAAGTACCTCGTGGACCTCCCTTCGGATTTGAGGTCTATGTGTGTCCTAGGGGAAAAGAAAGACTGGGTCGAGCGAGATCCGAATGAATGGCAAGTCAAGACTTTGAAGATGTCAGCCGAAAATTAAGACATTTGGTGCAGTAAGTGCTGTACAACATTGTATACTTATCCACTCCTCAAAAGATACCCCAATAGAGCCCGACAAACCAAATTGTTCTCAAGTCTCTCAGCTTTTCCTTTATTTTTTCAACAGCGCGACTCAGAACAGAGCAACTACGTCTGCGACCGCAACAATCCCCCATGGTCGGAGATCACAAGTCATGGAATGCCTCGGAGCATTTCTTACGCGCGAGATCGAGGTTTGGTGGTTAGAAGCTCTTGTCAGCAAACTCTGCTTTCGAGTTGATGTTCGCTGTGAGTGCCCAACTGCTGAGTTCAAGAGCATACCTATTTCAGACCTGTCTTATTCTTTGAGAACCAGGAAAGGCAGACTAGAGGTGTGCGTACATGTTATGCCGTGGCATCTTTATCGCATAGATATTGTCTATGACTCACTCTCTCTTTATATCTCAAGCCATACGGTGTCACTCGCGCCTCAGCCGTATTAGATTCCCAAATATTCTCAATGTATGTCTCCCCTATCTTGACACTAACTCGGCACCGTCTGTGTTTTCATCTTTTCACCTTCACTTGACTTTAAATCATTTGTCTGCACTCACTCACTCACTCACTCACTCACTCACTCACTCACTCACTCACTCACTCACTCACTCGGTTCATGCTGCTATAAGCCCACTCACCTATATCGGTGCAGTGACATAAATCTCAACCTGTGCATGTCTCCTCTTCGCCGCTTTGCATCTCTCTGACCTTTATTATCACTTCTCATCCTTCCTATCTTTTTGATTTACACTTATAAGTACGGTCTAGACAACCACTCCAACTACCTATGTGAAGTGAGCTTTCAGGTGGCATCGGAATACTTGACATGGCTGTCACGGAGAGCGACCTCAGGACGTACGCACCTAGCAGCACTTTGTGTACTCATCCATTCGTCTGACAAGGAGATAGCTTTTCCTCATGCCTCAAGAAGGAATGTCAACCCAATGTCGATATCATTGTCAATGATTATCGATGGGCAGTGCACAGTCATGTCATCACTGACTCTTCCGAATCCTTTTTGGAACTTTACAGCAACGCACCCCCGGTAAAGTTTTGACCTCCTTCAAGTCCTGGTCAGCTTAACATCAACTAACGGAGACTTCTCCAAGTCAATAGGGTAGCAAGCGGCAAGAAGTACATCTTGACGGTGACGAACCAGCCATTATCGCCCACTTGATCCTCTGGTGGTACACTGACGAATACGACGATGAGCCTGCGTCTGACAATAGTGGGCTTGACATACAAAGTCTGATGAAACATGGCAAGGCCTCCGCATCCGGTCACTCTGACGAAGCGATTTCCGACCCTGACGCAGAACCCGACGATGCTCAGGAGGACACTGGTTACATGGGTTCTTCTCCAATATCGCTGCACGCGAAGATGTATCTCATTGCTCACAAGTACAAAATAACCGTACTCCGCGAGAAAGCCACAAATGAGATCGCGGAAATCCTCGGGATGGTGAAGGAGGCGTTACTGCCGTGTCTTTCTCATTTCTTTGTCACGGATAGTCCAAGCGATCGTTCCATGAGCGCCAATGTCGGCGCCGGCAACACTGGCTCGAGCACTGGTACTGGTGGTGGCCTGCCTTCACCGACAAATAAGCATACGATTTCCGAAAAAGAGGACGCGGAGCTGTGGAAAGTCCTCGCCAAAACCGCAAGCCGACACTTTCGCTCGTACCACACGGATCCAGTGTTCCAGCACATCGCCACAAGTAACCCGCGCTTCCACTGGGACGTCATGGGTCGAGTCGCCAGCATGCTGGAGGCCGCACAGGACAAACTGGCGAGTACGCCCGCGGAGCCGCCAAAGACGCCCAAGAAGAGAGGGAGGAAGAAGCAGGAGGTCACCGCTCCGGGCACTGCTGGTGAGCCTGCCGAAGACAACGACAGTAGCACGAAGAAGGGAAAAAGGGGCGGAGCGGGCTCCTCGAAGAAGCTCAAGACGGATCCATGAACGAACTAGAGCGATATGGGACGAGATGGGACGAGCAGTAAAGACTTACGAGGAGAGGGTGGGGGAGTTTGGTGGTGTTGAGGTAGGGGGAGAAGGGCTTCATTCAGGAATTTGTACACATCTGCCGATTTTCATCATCGGGGGATTTCTGCGGCGCTCAAAACAAAAAGAATTGAGAATCGTGCTGAAGGAGAAAGGTTGGCCGGTTGGTTTGACCTCGTCGCCCGATCATTGTCTCCTTTCACCGTGGGAGGTTTGGATCGTTTGGATGGAATAGGGTTGTTCAGCAATTCTGCTACGAGCGAGTCAGCTAGGCCAGAGAGACAGAGAGAGAGAGAGAAATTGCGGGTCCCGAAAGGCAGAGATCATGATGAGGCACTCGATCTATCTTTGAGCGGACCTTTTTCAGTGGCTAAACAGTAGCTGTGGACATGTCCCCAAAAGAGCAGAGCTAGTTTGGACAGCTCCCTCCGTGTCAGGTTTCTTCCATGCATGCTACACTTGGTTGCTTGATTGCCTGCCTGCCTGCCTGCCGTTTCGTTAGTTGCTTGCTTCCCGCCTTGAGGCTTCACTCGCTTGCCCGCCTCTTGCCTGCGCCCGCCCAAAGGAGGGGTGGATACTCTTGAATCAAGGGAGACCAGAGACCAGAAACCAGGGATCAAGAATCAGGGATACAAGCACACAAGAGTCGCTGCGTCATCCCGGATCCCGTACATATACATACGTACATACATATGTACAGGGAGGGCAGAGTGTTTCGTTGCGTTGTGTACCTTGCTGACCGTGAGCGAGTGCGTCTCCGTGTATCTACGTAGCTGCGTGTCTGCCTACTAGGTACCTGTCAATGTATGTATGTATGTATGTATGTATGTATGTATGTATGTATATGTGACGTACAGTATATGTGCGGGCTCAGCTGAAGAGGCAGACAAAGAGCAGGAGAAATAAACACGCGCCCTTCCCCTCCTTCCCCACCCAACACCACCCCAAGCGTGATTGTGGCGTTCACAAGACATCGCTGCACGAAGGTGGACATGTACTAGTAGTATTGCGTACCAGGGTGCAAACAGAGTACATGATACATAGATACCAATACCTATGTAGGCCAGTAGGTAAAACCACCTTTGGTTAGCCATACTAGTCACCTGGCATACGTACGTACGCAGCGAGAAAGCGACATGCATGTATTTCGAAGCCAAAATCTACCTGGCAAGACTTGTTGGTTGTGATTAGGTAGTCACTAGGGAAATCAGGGAGCCTCAGATCTTCAGAGACTCAGAGCCTCAAGGCAGCGCCACCAATAGACACCCTGCCTGCCTGGTTGGCAATGATAAAACACCCGTGGGTTGTCGCTCGCCCAAGGCTAGGTTTTGCGTGCATGCCGCATGCATGCTTCCGCTTTCTGACGGTCAGTCGCAAAATCTCTCATCAGGTTTTGAGGTTGCACGGCGAGACGGCTAGATTCCCGTGTTTGATTATGGGTGGAGCGTGCGCAGGCAGCAATTCCAAAGGCGTCAAAGATGTCTGTCTACATTTTACTTGGAATCTACATGGGGATACGGGAGGGGTGGAGGGGTGGGGGGATGGGAACCCACAGGCGCTACTCTAGGCTTCGGTGGGTCATGCCCACATGGATCATTGGGCTTTGGTTGTGATCGCTAATCATAGTGGACTGTGTTATTACTGTCTAGGTACAGCTATACCATGGGATTGGTAACTCGTATCGCGTTTTTTGTTTGTTTTGTTACCATAGGTCTCTGACCACCGTGTGGGCTTCAAATGTCCAGACTTCTGATGCCACAGGGAACAAAGTTCAGTGGCATTAAGATCCTGTAAGTCCCATGTACTGCGCCATTCATTTGGCTTGACCTTTCTTGAGACCCTGAGGTCCCTTAGATCGTAGTGTAGAGGCAGGTGAATTAGGGTCAAAACGTGTGGCCTCGTCTGTTCTGCGTCGCTTTGTAACCCGAAGACTATCTCGTCCTCCATGATCACTTCTCACCTTTGGCGCAAGAGTTTTGGGAGCACCGGCACCGGCAGAGGAAGTCTTCTCGACAGTTTGCCTAGAGATGTGCTTTTTCGCCTGAAGTGACTTCTTTGTAACTTTAATCGCAAAGGTGGCTGTGTCACTGGAAACTCCTTCTTCGGGATCGTGGTGGGCGGCGACGTCAGGGTTGGACTTCTTCTGTCGGGGAAGTGTCACATCTGGACTCGGCTGGCGCACCCCAAATGACGCCGCGTCCTCGTTGTAGTCAACTCGTTTGCACTGTCGAAGCCGCCCCGACCAAGGTGAGGTGCTGGCATCCTGATTTCCAGAGCCGGGTCCAAGTCTCAGCTGATGGGTCAACGTTTCAGGTTTCATCGTCACCAGGCTACCACCATCATCAACATTGAAACCTGCTTCGCCTTCGTCTGCTTGCTGGCCTTCGCTTCTTGAAGGGACATGCTTTGTGCAAGGTCTCGCACCTGAGAGAAGAGACAAACCACTGTTCATCTCTTGGTCCACGTTGTCGTCGTCGTTGTCAGCAGAAATAACTTCAACACGGGGAGAAAACATGCTCTCACAATCCGCTGTGAGGAACAAACGCTGTATTTTGCCGATACCAAGCCTTTCGTGCATCCACGTGTCTCCTGGCATCCCAGTCCATTCGGGATTCCAGATCTTCTGCTTGACCCAACTTTCTTTGACATTTTGGTACGCAACCTGGTCAATATCATTAGGGCTCGTGAACAACTCATCTTCAAGCCACTTGCGCTCTTTAGCGATCTCGTAGAGAAGCTGTGGGTGGGGGCGAGATGCTGCAGTTTCCTGTGCGTGTGCAGCCCGTAGTTCTTCAGTCACAGGAGGTTCCTTGTGCTTCCGAACGACCCCCACCTTTTCTGTGGTTCATTTGTCATTCCAGATGCCTTGCTCAATCCAGTTGTTCATGATATTCTGTTCTGCGCTGTAAAAAAGGTCCTCGTCATCACACGGCAATGTTTCTTTGCGCCGATCCATACTCCGAATTGACTGCTCAATGATTCGTACATGCTCCCTATTTGCCTGATAATGGAATTGATGGTGGGGTGATGATTTAAGGAGCTCAAGCTCTCTGTAGTATTCCTACGCTTGGTCGATATTATCGATTCGTTCGATTCCGTCGATTCTGTCGATTGCACGGAGGGGCTCTAAGGAAGTGGCGATGCAGGAACATCAGGTGTTTGAAGATACACTCGGGGACCTGTCGAATCGGACTCGGGCGCGCACAAGTTCCCAAGGCCTGTTTTGGAGTCTCTCAAGGGCTGCGAAGAGCAAGTCAGATAGCGGTGGGCCCTTTTCCTTTCTTTCGAAAGGGAGTTGCCGGCCTAGCCCGAATCTGCAGTTGGGAGTTACTGTGATTCTACGGGAGGGCATCGTGAAAGTCGTGCCTGAAGCGTCGAGGAGGCATGAAAACAGGCCTGGCAATGACTTGTTTACAAAGGAAAGAGCGTTGTCAGGGCCCCTTTGCGCCTTGACATTCAGTCGCCCTTGCATCGCGGTACAGGCACTCGTTCATAGTTACACAATACAGTGCCCTCCGTTACCACGGATTACAGATTCTCCGTTCAGGCTAGCATGGGAAGGAGTGGATCGTGGATCGTGGACCGTGGCATCTCTATCAAAGGGATGAAACCTTATCGGCGCTCGCTGTGGAGCACCGTTCAAAACGTGTCCAGGGGCATCTTGGCCTCATTGGAAACCACCTGGCCGTTTACGGATAATTGCGTGGTGCATGTATCCAGAGCAGCCAGAGCAGCATACTAACTCTGCCAACGCGTCTGGAACATGTACTCATAAAAGGCCGCGCAGCAGTCTGACGAGCATCCATTTAAAAAGGATGGATGAGCATGACACGGCTTCTATCCTCTTGGTAGAGTTGCCAATCCTCCTCTCTGCAGTCCCTTTCTTCTCTTGGAACGAAATCCCATTTCAATACTAAGAAAAATGACTTCATCAGACGTTCGGCCAGAACCCCACCCTTCCGCAGTCTTTTCCCTCGTCCCTATGAATTCAAGGGCAAAAGCGGTGCTGGACCACCCCTCCAACAGTCACCTAATCTCTGTTGTCCACAATCCCGACAATCCCTTGAACAATTTGGGAATCAACGTGGGTCCGCACATCAATTCATCGTCACAATATGCCCTGGCGACCCTCGGACGCCGTGGTACAGACATCACGCTGGAAGGAGCAACCATTTCGCGCACCCACTGCTCTTTTGACATTAACCAGGAATTCGGTACGATTCTCCTTTACGATCGATCAACGGCTCAGGCAACCAACTTCTTCGGTGAAGATCGTCAATCCTTTGAAAAAGGCCAAATCCGACGAGTCGTTGTCGCTCCGGAGGTGAACACCCTTCTAGGCATTGGCGGCCACGATGGCCAACAACTTTTGTTCAAGCTGCTTTGGCACAAAGAAGTGATCAATTGGAAGGATATGCTGAAGATTCAAAGTCAAAATTCTTGTGACACCCGAACTGTGCCATCTTCTAGATGTCCAACATCGCTTAACACACCTACTGCACCATCTTACACGTACCGCCATGTTAAACTCCACAAGATAGGTACAGAAACCTTTGGGGATGTCTGGCAGGCAGTTGAGACCGACACTGGCATGCTTAAAGCTGTCAAGGTTGTAAAAGATTATGTGCATGGCACCGATGACGTGCGACGGATGATGGTAAACCGAGAAGTTGATACTCTTGCGAAGCTCTCTCATGTGTGCCATACCCCTTCTTCCCCAGACTTGCCCAGCTGACCATCACAGCCGCATGTTGTGGAGTATAAGGACTATGTGCCAGCCCAAGGAGGTCTTTTCATTTTCATGGTCCTGAGAGATGGGAGCGTTGAGGACTTGATTCATCAAGGGTTCTTTGAGCCAACGTCTGACCGACACCTGGCTGTGACTGTTTTACGCCATGTTCTTATGGGGATTCATTATCTCGGCAGCAAGAACATCGCGCATCGCAATCTCAAACCAGCGAATATCATTTTCACCAAGAACACAGAGGCGGGCTTCCAGTTTCAGATCACCGACTTTGGCGTTGCAAACTCTGCAAACAATACCACGACTTTGGTGATGTCACCCCGATATGCCGCTCCTGAGGTTCTGTGCGGTGACGGTAGGCTCCAAACCTCCAAAGCCGATATCTGGTCTCTATTCGTCACTATGGCACATGTCCTGAACGTGGATGGCTATAGGGACAAAATCTTTGGCACAAACGCCGAAATAATCCAATCCGCCTGCAGCGCAGCCGAAGACCGGGACATGTCTGACATCAAAGACATGGTTATTGTAGAGCCTGAGCAACGAGCTTCGGCGGCTCAGATGCTACAGAGACTTTTTGGAGGGGAGCTTGGCTACGCCGCCTGACCAGGTTGACAAACACGCAGACGACCCCGACCAGGACCATGTTTCGTCACCAGTACCGAGCACGACGCGTCCCGCTCGTGGAAAGAAAGGAAAAGGAAAAGAAAGAAGCGTGTAAGAATCTGAGCGTCAGGGCCTCAGTCAGAGTCCAAGGAAGACGGGAAAGGGGGGCTCCAAACTCAATTGTGCTTTCACAGGCTGTTGCAAAGGTGGCACTTCGGCAGGGTATTCACCGATTTGACGGTTCCAATGTTGTACGAATCTCTCCATGATACGTACGTGTGTGTTTTTTGTGAGGAAGTCGGTGTTTGGCTTGGTCCGGGGTCGGTTTGGTGTTTGTACTCGGGTTGCGGAACTAGGATGTTTTCTCATTCACGGACGCTAGCTGTATTCTTTTATATCCACTGTTGATCTGGGCGAATTTCTTTCTGCAATTGATCCTTTCTCCCTCATGGAATGACAATCGACAACAACGGAGCATGCAGTTGAGTGCCAAATGTGTCCCGCTCTCCAATGCTACCCTGCGGCCACGGTCTCTTGAAAGTGCACTTCCAGCCGAGAGCGGGCTCGAAGAACATCAAAGTGATGATGTCGTCTGCGGGCTTGAGACGGTAGAGTTTCCGCACCGTCTCAGCCGTCAGCACATTCGACTTCTGTGCCCGCTCGAAATCCGAGTTATTGGCGAAAAGAATGTCCAGCGTGACCTCAAAGGGCCTCGAGTTCTTGGACCGGACAACCGACGCGAGATCTCGAATGGCTCTTGGACCCGATTCCACTGTTGACGTCAATGCTGCTGGGAATCACATCACGTCGTTAGCACCCACGGTGTACAGAGGTGTGCAGCTGAGCTCCTCGAGTGACACACTTACATATCGCAGACGTCCCGTTAGCTTGGGCCGGTGAGTTCTTCTTTGGCAGGACCGATTCAGGAACGGGTTTGCTTCTTGATAACCACAACGGCCTGGTCGGACGTTCTCCCGTCGTCGTCATCGTCATCGTCCCGACCGAGAAGACATGAATCGGAAACAGTGCCTTGGGGTCATCGACTTCCATCAGATGATAGAGGCTGAATTCAAAGACCGGTCCAATGTCGGACTCGAGCGGTGTCAGCGGTGACGCCAGGTTGCCAGCCGTGGCAAGTTGGCCCTTGTAGGCCCCATGGAGGACCAGGGTGCGCGAGTATTCAGCAAGGGCACTCGCAGCCTCTGGCGTCTGCGCGACAGCTTCACCCAGTACCCCGATCTCGTGGGGCGTCTGGGTCGACGTCTCTAGCGGACCCATGACGGCGTTCTTGCCGTAGAGGTGGAAGAAGAGTTGTGGGCCACCTACTTCGTCGAGATCCGCCATGGCTTCCTTGACCGTCTTTCTGACGCTGACCAAGAAGTCGTGTATGCAGTCGATGAGAATCGGGTCTCGGATTGCCCCGATGAAAATGGACCGGAATCCCACTTTTCGCGCACCTTCTAGCTTCACTTCATACTGCTGCCGAGTCGGTCTGAACTCGGCCCCTTGGACCACGACGCTTCGCCCGTCGGGTTCTTGTAGGTACGTTGCCCTATCAAGATACAAGACACCGCCCGGTCCGGGCAGTCTGTCTGGTCGGGTCTTCTCGTACATGGTATGAGCCGCGACCGTCAGGGGAGTACATCGAGCATTGGGATTGGTGGGCGTGAGGACAAACCTATCTTGGTACATGGTCGCCAGGATCGAGCGGCCCTTGGGCGTGGTGCAAAGGCCGCCGCATTCGACAATCTTACCCACGTGCCAGGCTGCGGATGGCTGGACGCCATTGTGGATGCGAAACGCCGCAAAGGGAGCCGGGTCGTAACGACCGTCCCGCCATGATGATATCGATCGAAGGATCGCGCAAGACCTCCAGAAACGGCTCGGCGCCCATTTGGGCCACGATACAGGCCGCATCGTCGACGTCCTCGGGCTTCAATTCCGGCACGGGCCCGTAGGGTCTCGTCTTGCCTGCGGCGATTTGGGACAAGATGGTTCCCCGATGTTGCTCGTCAAAAGTGATTGTCGCGATGCGGAATACCCACGACGCAGCGTCTGCTATCTCACGGATCACCCCCACCATGAAGTCCACCTGGGAGTTGGTCCCTGCTCCGCCAGCAGAGCTCACCAGCACCTTGATCCCGTGTGCCGCGCACGCCTCCAGTATGGGATGGAGATCGAACAGGACCTGCAAGACCATCCGCCAAAACACCAGACGGAGCTTTTGTGGTGTCCCAAAGATGTTCCTCGTCCTGGAACCCGCGGGACCGCGGAGAATGAGCCTTCGCCCTATACCTACGTTCTTACTGAGACCAACGTCGTCGCGGTCCTAGTCATGTTCAGGATCCCGAAACACCTTGTCCCCTTGTCGCGTTTTGGTTGTTTGAAGTGCCCCATTTGCTCGCCGCGATGGTCTTGCTTATGCAGACCCCACCCCGTTGTGGTGGAGGGCGGGCGAGGGGAGGGTGCTCCCATCAGTATGCGAGGACTATAGACACCGACATAGGGGACAGCATTAGGTGAGCAACGAACTTGTCTATCGTCTGATGATCTGACCCGGTCAAAAGAATCCTCTCGGCCTTTAATGGTCTCTTTGGTATCCGACCATCGTGAGGTCTTTTGCCATATCTCGGTGCCGCCAACAGCATGCCCAGACAAAACACGATTCCTTCGGACTGTGGACCGTTGACCACGACTGCGCAAGGGTTGAAATTTATATTCAATCTATCCTGAGTCAACAACCCTGGTTACACGATCCCGCCGTCGTAGAAATGCCTTGGAGAACTGAAAGAAGAAAGGCTATCGGATTGGTTGAGATGATTGCGACAGCTCTGGCAAAGAAATAAACTTGATGCCGGGGAGTTTTACATAAGCAAGCTGTCCCGACACCGGCTTCTTAAGCACAGATTGATGTGCAATTGAAAGAGAACAAAAAGTTGCCCGTATCACAAATATTTTTTCAAAAACTCCACCTCCTTTTTCTGCAAGATGTCTCTGGTGTTGCCGGGGGAAACAAAGCCGTAATGATTCGAGTCAACGAGACACAATTCCTTTGGTTCATGCATCATGCTGTAGTGTCGTAAAGTCATGTCGGGTTCACCGTTGGTATCTTTCAAAGCAACTCCCATTAATATCGGAGTTGGAGTGACGTGGGAAAGAGAGGATAGAGGCGCAACGTAACCGAACATTTCTTCAAGTCTGTACAACAAACAGATTAGCTTGATCAACCAGGCCCCCTTTGTGAATATATTGCTCACGATCTCAAGGTCACCTTGTTGACCCAAGAACTGTCATGATCGACTGTTGGATCGAATCGATGAAAAAAGGCAAAACTGTCTTGACTGGCCAATGCCGCTGTCCCGCCCTCGTCTGGCGTCACCACCGGTATCGTTCCTGGGGGTTCTCCCTTGATCCGGTTGATTCGGTCGGCGGCGAAAAGTCGTCTCAACGTGGCGAGGTTGTGGGCGGGAATGACCCGATGGACGGTTTCGACGCCGTCGATACAAGGGGCGTGAACGATCAAACACTTGACCCGCTGGTCACTGGCGGCGACTTGTATAGAGTGTCCTCCGGCGTAGGAATATCCCCAAAGGGCGATTCGATCCGGGTCGACCACCGACAAGGTCGAGGCAAAGGTGATAGCGTCACGGAGGTCGAGGACCTGCTGCGAAGGAATGATTTCACCACGTACATAGGCGGGAGTCGTGTCACTCGCACCAAATCCTCGATGGTCATACACCAAACAAGCCAGGGGAAGTGCAGAAGACAGGTGAGTGGCGATGTCGATCAGTCCCATTTCCTTGACACAGGTAAATCCGTGGGTGAGAATGACACAGCCGAGTTGTCCAGCGACATCGTCAGGAGTCACCAAGTTGCCTCGTAGAGTAACGCCATCGGTGGTGATGAAAGAAACGTGGGAAGAAATGGCCATGTCGACCGGGTTGTGAACCAAATGTCAAATTGCAAGGAACCAGGTTAGGATGCAATTTCCAAAGCCTCCTCCCCGTGTCCTGTAAGGCCATCTATTTGTAGGACCTTGGGCACCAGAAAGAAGGAGCATTAATGTGTGGTTTTGTTTTCAATACTTACGTCACGAATGTCTCATCATAGAAGTCGAATACTACGCAAAAAGCCGTTGTATACTCGATTAGGAATAGTCTACCACGGCAACGAGGCATATAGCCCCTTTCCCTCGACGACAATCGACCATTGGAAATCGACGGAATTTTCAAGGCGCCCTCGGTTGGACTTTTTTTCAGTGTTATGGCCCCCGTGATCTTCATCTCGGTTGTGATCCTCCGTGCAGATCACTCTTCAGTGATTGAAATAATTTATGGAATGCGTCTTGCTCTCTTCAGCATAAATATCCAACACCAGGGCCACGCTTCGTAGCAAGAGAAGCCTTTCGTTCTTTATATTACATTTTCCGTGCTGTCCATATACTACTGCTAACAACTCTGGACAAAATGAAACTTTTTCCCGCATTCGTCTCCTCTACGTTGACATTCTCGTCCGTCGTCAACTGCATACTGTCTTCGGTCTCGAGACAGGTCAACCTCGGGGTCGACTCTTACTTTTTACCCCCGATCAAATCTTGGTCCATCGGGTCATGGGATGTAAATTCGATCCAGGCGGACGACGAATTTCTGCCCCTGACGGTGGTTCAATGCAACGACAGCAAGGTCGACGAACAAACGCTCAAAACCACCTTTGACACCTACCTCGCACGCGACGACGTGTGGACTCCTGAGTTTGCCAATGGTGAGGCGCAAGCCTTTTTGCCGACCTCATTTATTCATGCTAACATCTTTAAACAAGCTCTGTTCTTGCAATGCCCCAAGACCAAGCTTGGCCTGGACAAAGTCAAGGGTCTGGCTCCAGAGTATTCCATCAACAACGTTTTCTACGGCGATTTCAACAAATCGAGCATTGAAAATGTCCCGATTGGACCGTATTTTGTCCACAAATTCACTGGAGACGTATACCGAGCATACAAATTGGTCAATGACTTTAATCAAGCGTTTATCCAGGTAGTCTCTCCGACCTCATCTTCCCTTCGAAAGCCCCTGTTGATCCCCTGTTTTTCTTGTTTCTCCTTCTGACATATCCTAGTCCTCGTACCAAGATGAACAAGGTTTCCATCACCCACTCGCTGCCGCTTCCATGTCTGCCGGAGCTCTGACCATCGGTCTGCCCTCTCGCCTCTACTTTACCCGTACCCCTGAACAACCGTTGGCTGGGTTCAGACTGGCGGTGAAAGATTTGTACGACCTACAAGGACTCAAGACGAGCGGGGGAAATCGAGCGTTTTACACAATGGCCACCGCGGCAAACGTCACTGCCTACCCCGTGCAAAGGTTGATCGACGCCGGTGCGGTGGTGATTGGAAAAAACCACTTGTCCGAGTTTGCATTTGCCGGCCCCGACATGACCGAACACGTCGATTACCTCTTGCCTTTCAACCCTCGAGGGGACGGGTACAATTCGCCCGACGACAGTTCAGGAGGGTCTGGAGCCGCCGTGGCCAGTTATGACTGGCTGGACGTGAGTTTGGGCAGCGACACGGGTGGCAGTATCCGATCACCGGCGTGCAAGAACGGCGTCATGGGAAGTCGACCATCGACGGGTGCTGTCGACTTGACCGGTGTCTTGTCGCTGTCCACCACTCTGGACACAGCCGGAGTGCTCGTGAGGGATCCTTCACTCTGGTCCGACATCAACAAGGTTTTGTATGCAGGGTTCGCCAAAGAATACCCTTCGTTTCCCAAAAAGGTCTACGTTCAGGCCGAACAAATCGCTTCGTACGCCAACGCCACGGGTGACGAAGCGGCGTGGGCGCAACAGGCTTTGAGTTTTGTCACGGCCATGGCCAAAGCCGTCGGAGCCAACGTTGCGGAACTTTCGATTGACAGTCTGTGGAACTCGACCAACGGCGTGCCACACGCCGACGGCCAACGTCTCGTCTCCTTCGCGGGGGCACTTTACCAAAACATCACCATGTACGAACAATGGAACGACTGGGGCAGACGATACGTCGAATCGTGGATGGCCGATCACGACGGTGAGTTCCCGGCCATGGTTCCCAACACCCGCGGGGATTGGCTCACGGTCAACGAGAGCATCACGCCGGATCTCCACCAACAACACTTGTCGGATGTCCAATCGGTGCGGCAGTGGGCTGCCGACCACTTTCTCCGGCCCGACAACGAGTCGTGTTCCGACGCCCTCTATCTCTACTTTAGCCCGCCCGATGGCAACGTCAACTACAAACCAAACGTCGCATTCGACCTGAACAACGTTTATATCAAGGAACTTCTCACCCGCGCCGCGCAGGCGGAACAGTCGGCTGGGCAACTCAACGTGACTCTGCTTTGCGGCGAGCACAACTCCAACACGTCTGACGCTGCCTGTCTAGAAGCCCGACAGATTTTGGCTGACACAATTCAACAAATCGCCCAATTGTCTCCCACCTATGTCAATCCCGGTAGAATCGCCAGCCTGGCCGGCCTTCCAGATTACGTCATTACTCTCGGCGAAATGGCCATGAACGCGACAATGTCCGAATCGACCCTCAAACTTCAATCGATGCCGTGGTCTGTCGACATCATGGCCGCGGCTGGTTGTGATTTCATGTTACAGGATCTCATCAGTGAACTCTCCCAGCGAGGCCTCATCAAACCGGTCAAGACGGGTGCTCATGTTCATTGACCAGAGACACATGGAGTCTTTCGCTGGTCAAGGAGGCTGACGAGAGACGGTTAATAGTGTCGCGAAGCAGACAAGGAAACATGCTATAGTCACTTTTCATTCTCCAAATTTCACATTGCTATCGATATTTTGGAAGCCAGCAGATAGTACTTTATGTCCCAAAAATTCGTTGAGTATTAGAATGGCCCCCCGGGAAACGTTGGTAGACGCCTTGGTATGTTGCATGGTTTAGCCTGTGAATACCCAAAGTGCTAACTAATGCTCTGATCCCTCCCTAATGTTCCACCCCCGAAGACTGCCTGCCACTCACGGCGAAGCACCTGGCGGCGAGCTCGTCTCTCGTCCACAAGGCATCGGTGGCTGGGTTTGTCCTTCCCTGGAGATGATTTAATAGGGATACGATCCAATCTCGGACTCGGTCGGATTCGGCGCTGTCGTACGACAGCAGGAGTGCCGTGGGGTAGTAATGCAGGCCGAAAATCCCCACGCCGAGGACGTACTCGTGACACATCCAAATCCTCTGGCTCACCGAGGCCGCATGCTCCCGCAATTCCGCAGTCCACCCTTGAAGTGCGGCCAACATGTTGAGCGTGACAATGGTGCAGAGGGCGTGGTAACAACAAACTCGAGGGATGGTCGAGTCGTCGAGTTGATACACCTCGTCGACGGGCGAGTCTTTGGCAGTGGCTGGTCTTGTACGAACCTGCGCCGAATCTGCCAGGATCATCTGCACCTGTCCTTCCATCGATTCGAGCGTGGCCGACATGGACATGACTTTTGACAGTACACTGTCGAATTCTACCTTTCCACAGTGGTAACCTCGTAAGCCTCCCATCACGTCAGGCCACACGGTCATGATTCGAAAGATTTTGACCGACAACCGTTGACAGAGTGAATCTGCCGGCCGTTCGCAGAACGCCACCTTCCACTTGGGGGACCCAAGAAAAAAGGGTTGATGTCGACTGTAAAAATGAGCGGCCTAGAACAATCGTTATTTCCCCGCCCCCCAAAAAGCCCCATATTCAAGCTAAAAACGTGTTCCTCACCAACGGTTGGAGGACATCGGTGAGAATGTCCGAGGTTAAGTCGTCTCCCACTGTCTCGACCCCTTGATGTTCGAGTAGAAAGCCGACTCCTGATAAATGAGTCGACCAAGTGGCTTGTAGATTGGGTAGTGTGGTTGTCAAGGTCGCGGCCTGTTACAAAGTCAGTTTTTGTTGAGAGAAGATGAAAATGCTCACGTCAATTTGAGCCATGACTATGGTTGCGAGCAAGGTTTGTCGACTCTTTAACAGCACCACATCTTCCAATGCCATCCTAAGGCAACGTAGGCTATGACCATACAGTATTGGGTCGACTTTGGGTCCGGCGGTCGCCAACATTTGTCGTTTCCGCGTGTCCGAAAGACACGCCACCGCCGCTGTCAGAGCTGATGAGTCATCCAACATGGCGGGCGTGTGCGCTAACAGTTTCGACAGACTCGAATTTCCCAAGGTCATGATGACCACTCGTACGAGATCCGCGCCGATCTTGGTCGCTCGATTCGCCGGCACCGGACGACCTACGGACGATGGTGATGAACGTATGACACCGGTGGATGTCGTCTGCAGAGACAATCGTCTGACATTCTCCGCGTGGAACTTGAGCTGTTCTGGTGGCCTGGGACATCGTCTCTTGTTCCTCCGGCACTCGCCACACACTGGCCATTGTTGGTCACACTGCCTCGGTCTCAGTCATCATTCCTCTATGAGTGGCCGTGGCAGATATACTCACCTTGACCCGTCTCTGCCTACAGGTCAAGCATCGGCTGGTCCACGCCACCATGTCAGGAAGCTTCGTCTAGGTCCGCTCTGCTGTATCTACGAGCCAAACTGTACGAGCCGAAGGTCTCGACGGGCGACACTGAGATTGACGGTCAAATCGACCACTATTGTCGTGAAGGCGGGTAAATATGGATTAAAGTTGCAGTTTATACCCGGCTTTGCCAGCCAGGAGTTCTGAAAATAGCGGGCACTAGCCCATGGCTTCCATCTCTGGTTAGCTGCTTTCGCTGCAGACAAGACTAACCACAAAAGGCCGCCTCACACATGAATCCTCAAAGTGCCAACTCTGCCGCCCTTGTAACGGTCAGGGGCGTATTCACATTACGCTAATCACGTGAACGGTATATAACTCCCTGGCTGCACCTCTACCACCTACTCAGCAGTATCTGGGTTCTCGTCCAGCCCCTGACAGACTATGGCGATCTTGTGGTTGTAATGATCACGCTCTCGAGAAGTAAAAGCGGCGAGCGGCTAATTAGAATAGTATGATGGACAATCGGTTTTTCGTCCGAGCCATCTGGGCAATGATTGCTCGAGTAGCGCCGACATCATGTGGTCAGAGGCTGCTTGTCTGTATGTGCACCTACCTACCTGCGACCGAACAGTTTTCAGGAAACGAGAAGAAATCTGAATGTGTGAGAGAGAGGATATCACGGCCTATACCATGCACGACCATGCACGACCATGCAAAGTCCGGGGCAACTTCGGGCAGTGGTCGGGCCGAGCGAGTCTTCTGATAGGAAGCAGACGAATCCAATGTGCAACGATCAGCACTACATAGAGACGTAGGTACTCGAGTAGGTTCGGAGACGATACCCTTGGATGAAGGAAGTTGAGCCGACTACAGGCCCATACAAGATAAATACCGCGACGGAATATCCCGTTAACCATCCAAGGAGGCAGGAAAAGGCGACTTCTGCGACCCTTGCCTAGGGAGTACAATGCGCAAAAGGCCCCTCGAACACCGACGTCGGGCCGAAATCGCCCTATCAAAAGCGAGCCTCTCCATGTCCAGGAAATCCCGCGGGAGACCCCAACAAGCGAATGCTGCTTCAATGGCAAGGCAGCGTGGGGTGCATGCATGGGGCCACAGTCAGTAGGCTGCCCGACATTTGGATCTGGTCATCCTCCACCTTTCGGGTTCATTTTGTACAGCCCTACCCGGCAAAGTATTCAATTGTTTCAGCCTCAACGGCATCAAGAAGCTGTACTATCTTCAAAACAGCTATAGAACAAGTATTGTGGTTGGACACGGTTCATATCCCAGTAATGTCACTGCCAGGGCGGACAAGACTCACCCAAGCAGATGCTGAGGTGAGGTGTTTAGGTATATCCCGTCTATTTCGACCGCAGTCCATCCCATTTCTCTTCCCACTTTCCTACTTGGCTTCGCTGGATTTCACTTGGTAAACACAAACGATGGATACCTGGTCTCGGTCTCCTCGGCCAGTTTGGCAATATAGTTCTGCAGGCCAGCCAAGAAGAAGGCACTGTATTTCTTCTTGCCCTGCACGTTGTCGTTCTGGATCCATGACTTGACCTTGTCAAAGACGGTTGCCTTGGAGATCTGCTGGACGACTTGAGCCCAATCCGCCTGGGCTTTGGCGTCGGCCTCGACGGTCTTGTCGCCCCTGTTTCTTGCCTCCTGGATGAGCTTGATGATGAAATCCCCCTGCAACTCGATCGAGGGGAGCATGTTTGCAAACGGACCGCCAGGCCCCGTAACGGTGAAAAAATTGGGAAATTCGGCCACGCTGACGCCGTACAAGGCGTTGGCCCCTCCCTTCCAGGCGTCTGCCAGCTTGAGTCCCCCACGTCCAGTGATGTCAATGTTATGATAGGCGCCATCGACCCCGTCGAACCCCGTGGCATACACAATGATGTCAAAGTCAAAAGCCTTGCCGTCTTGAAGTTCCAATCCCGTTGGAGTGATCTTGGCGATGGGGTTGTTAGCTACGTCCACGAGAGAGACATTGGGCTCGTTGAAGGCCTCATAATACCCCTGTGTGCAAAGCGGGCGTCCACCATAGTGTCCCTTGGGCTGGAGCAGTTTTGCCGTCTCAGGATCCTTGACAATTTGGGCAATCTTCTCGCGAACAAATGCCGCTGCCGTCTCGTTCGCTGCCACGTTTGTCCCGAGGTCGTTGAAGGTCTCGAAGAAGAACCGGAAGCCGCCGCCCTTGTTCCAGATGCGTTCATAGACTTCTCTCCTCTCTGCTTCCGACACCTCGAGCGCCGATTTCTTGCTCTCTGTGAAACCCATGGCGAAGAGCGAGTTGAACACCGTGTCCCAGATCTTATCGTAGTTTTCGTAAATCTCCTTCTTTTCTTCCTCGGTCACTGGTCGATCATTGACGGGGACGATGTATTGTGCCCGCTGTTGAAAAACCGTGATTTGCTTGACGAGGTGATGGATGGACCCGGTGATCTGGCTTCCGGATGGCCCAGTTCCGATGACTGCAACACGCTTTCCCGCGACGTCGAGACCCTTGGGCCACCGAGCAGAATGAAAAGATAGACCTTTGAAGGAGTCCCGTCCTGGGAAATCCGGAATGTAGGGGTTAGTTAGAATCCCAAGTGCGGTGAGAAAATAGGTGGCAGAAAATTGGAGGCCCTTGTCTGTGGCAATAAGCCAGCGATTGCTCCTCGCATCGTAATGGGCCGAGACAACTTCGTTCTCGAAGACATAGTTCTTCAAGACACCGGACTTTTTAGCCGTGTCGACGATCTGCTCCTGGAGGTCTTCGGCCTTCAGATATCGCGTGTTCCATTTAGGTGGGTCACGGTCGTCGGAGAAGCGATAGACCCAACTCTCAGTATCAGTTTGGGCCCCGGGATACTGGTTCCAGTACCAGGTTCCTCCTAGCGCGCTGCCCTTCTCGATCGCGACGACATTCTCGAGATGGAGCTTGTCCTGGAGAAGGCTGACGAGACGTATACCGCCAAATCCTCCGCCGACAACAACCGCGTCCACTTCCTTTGGGGTGGTTGACATAGTGGTTCTTGGTGGGGAAGAGTTAAGAGAATATGATTGGCCCGGTAGATATTTACAAGATATAAAGGATAGGACACGAAGGCGAAGAACTGCGAACCTGCCGGCTGATCTGATAGCTCTGGCTAGTCACGAGAGGCAGTTGTGGAGACGGCAACGGTTGTTGAGGATTGTTCTACTCGGCTACTTTCTTGAAAACAATCGTCGCAAGGACAAGGTGGCATGCAGAGAAAGATATAGTCGATGAATATCCTCACCTGACACACTCGCAAGTCTGATCGCGCCATCCTATCCTCACTGGCACCGAGTCGGGCGTGATATTGTGTTCGGCACTAAAATTGCGCAATTTGGGATAAAGCTGGAAAGCCCAGCCAGCTGACGAACTGAGATGTTGTCTTTGCACCTCGTACATGAATGGTGAGAGAAGTAAGCTGAGGCACTAGAGGTTCGTATATCCATCACGTCTTTCCCTGCCAAACTTGCATCAGGCTGGGCGAGAAAAGCGGGGCCACCGTACACTACAGTACTCTAGTCCACATATAGATTAGCATATAATATGGGTCTCCTGTTAAGCAGGGACCTCGTTCGCTTGGACCCCAGATCCACTCTTGCCTTTCCTGGCACGAGCAAGGCTGTGGTAACTGGTTACCATCGCCAGAACTGTTGGCAGCTGGCTTTGCGAGATCCCATCCTTGGTTCGTCACGAGGAACGGAGACAGCCTAGAGGGACACGTCTGGGAATGGGAGCAATTGGAAAGGGCTTACCAGGAGGGTCGATCTCCAGGCCCATATTGCAAATTGATAGAATCTCGAGCTAGCAGGCTGTTCCTTTTCGCTTTTCCTCGTTGTCTCTTTTTGTCCTACACTGCGAAGAGCCAGTCGTGGCATGCAGCAATATTATCAGTGCCCAAAATGACCTCAAGCCAACTTACCCCAAGCCGCCCCAGTGAATCCATCCATACATATGAAGCATCCACCCATATTCAGCAACATATTCCTTGAAAACTCGTGGTATCCACAGAGTCAAATCGGTGGGGTGATGATCATGAGACATCATCATGTTGCAGTACTCGACGTAGCTCGGATACCACCCTGATAACGACCAGTCGATTACCACTACCGTATTATCGTCGCGGACAATGATGTTGGACGGATGAAGATCGGCATGTGTGAAGACACAGTCATGGCCTTGGAAAATCGAGTGCAGGAAATTCTTGTTGCTTTCAAAAAATGCACGGTTTTTCACGGGGTAATTCGCGTCGGCGTTTCGAATCATGGTGTCGACCCATTCCTCCTCCGTATCGCATAGCCGAACGTCACCCTTCTCAAGCGCTCTCTGTCCACCTGTCACATAGCCCTCGAGGATGGGTTGTCGCCATAGGCCACCGAAATAGCCGGGTGATGGGAGACCGCGGAGTTCGTCAAAGTAATGACGGAGTTTGGCGACCACCGCCTCCTTGCCACTTTGATTAGCCTTTGGCCAATACTCGTCCAAACCCTGACCTGAGATGTATTCCTGGACGATGAAGTTGTAACCAGTCGCTTCGTTGCGAAAAATGGCATAGACGGTCGGAACGGATAGGCTCGTAGCTTGCTGGACGAAGAGTGTATTTTCACCCTCCCGAAGGTCAATGTCTGCCCCGAATTTGACAGCAAAGTGCTCCTCAACACGTAAAACGTTAGGGTGTGGGTCGCCGTTGAATCTCTTCAGCTGGGTTGTGGAATCTAGGATCTCGGCGACAGTAGGCAGTGGGCTTGGGAGCTGATCCGGTGGCGCGAAGTAGGGTAGAGTCGGACGCGGAGCCATTTTCCTTCCCGTGCAATGGATGTCTCTTTTGTCTTTTTTGAGTCAACCAAAGAAAATGGGCTGCCTGAGATTTTCAGGAAGCGTTGGATAAATAGGAAGATAGAACTGGAAGACAAAGCGAGAGACAGACATATTTAAAGGCCTGGATGAGGTGACAAAGTGCAGACCATTCAAAAAAGCAGCGGCTCTTGATGCATACAAA